ACCCACCCACCTAGTCTCCCTGCACAGTATGGAAACCAATTCCACAGGTTAGTAACCGCCCCAGGGCACAGTGAGGAGCTGAAGGAGAAAACGGCAGAGGAAGAAATGGACTATCCAGGCCTAGTGACATAGAGGAAGCCTCCAGAGATGAGGTGGGGTTAGTGACAAAACTTCTAGAAGAAAAGAACAGGAAACCAAGGTCACCCTTGCTCAGAGATGCCCCCAGGGCCCCCCCTTCCCAAACTTTGCTGTTCTTGCCATGGCCCCCCTCCCTGCAAACTGCCTTTCCTTTAAACCCCAACCGCTGCACATTTTCACAGGGATTCAGGGGACAAGCCCTATGAAAGTAAGAGAATCAGATGGGTGATATCAAAGTGATGGAAAATAGGCTATAAGAGAACCGACAGAAATCGGATATAAGGTATCAGAGTGAGAGAGGGTTTAGAGGAAGAAAAATCAAATTCTGTCACTTTAATGGGAAAATTAACAATTGATATTGTAGGAGAAGAATTGGTCTTTGGGCTTCATTCCAACTGAATAACCCTGAGTGGTAGAGTTTTAAAAATTCAGGTCCCTTTCTATCTAAAATATGGCCCTCAATTTATTCAAACCTTCAGAGCAGTCAGAGATGAACCTCCAGAATACAGATGCCCCATTATCAAGAAACCCCAATACTTTTAAACTTTCATTATCTCGATGTCATCTTAGAGACTCTGACCAATATTCTGTAGATAGAGATCACCAGTATATAGGCTTTGATACCACAGACACTGCAGGTAACATGCCCACAGCACTCAAACATTTATTTGCAAGCCCAGGGAAGAAATCTGTTGATATGCATAACCATTATGGGAGGGGCTGGTTCAGGCTGTGGCCAAAGGGAGGCAAGTTAGACTTCAAGATGCACTTTCCCCCTGGGAGCAGAGAACACCAGGAACTTAGCTTAGGAGCAACTCCAGAAACAAACACACACTTAAACACATTGTCTGGACTTGGGGAAGGATGATTCTGAGAGGCGGATGCAAGAGGCAGAGGAACATGGCAGAGAAAGGGGAAATCCCACCAGGGCTCAGATGGGGATCTCTTGTAGCCCCTGTTTCAACAACCAAAACCTCAATGTCTTTGCATCCCAAATCTCCAAGGAGACAAGAAAAGAAGAATGGTTGATAAGAACTGAGGCATTAGGAGAAAGTAGGTAGGCACAGACCTGTGGTGACAAGATGCGGAGTGGGGTAGTGAATAGAGGATGGGCTGAGGGACAAATAACAGGGATGGATCTAGGAGAAAAGGAGATAGAGATAATGGGAAATCCCTAGGGACAAGGGAATACACCAGAAGGGCCCGACTGGGCATGGGGAAGAGAAACTGACGTGGACCCAATAGGGGGGTTAGAGCAAGGGGGTCAAGAAGGAGGGAGTGGAGAGGTGGTATAGATACATACAAGCGAGCTACCAGATAGAAGAGAGGGAGAGAGAATGGACACCAGAGAGGGGACTGATATAGGGGAAGGACAGAAAGGGAACTCATATAATGAACGGACGCCATATGGGGGAAAGATATAGGTGATGGACACCACAGGAGGGAGGGGGAATGGAAATAAGGATGGGGTGGGGGAGGGGGATAAAAGTGGTGAAGTGAAGGAAGCACTTAAGACCCCAGGGGTTACGTTTCATTGGTCAAGGGCCTTAACGAAGGTCAGAGTTTGAGGCAAGGTTCTAACCTGCCCCTACTGCCATCATTCAATCTTACTAATAGCCGACTCCCCTCCCCCCCCACAACAAACACACACAATTTGGCTCTCCCCCTGCCCTGATGTCCCCTCCCCCAACCCATTCCCTCTCTCTCCTCTCTTTCCTCCATCTGGACCCTCCATCTACCCCCCACCCCCAGCCTCCCTCTCTCTCCATCTGGCCCCTTCTTCTCTCCCTCCATCCTCCTCTCTTTTTCTACTCCCAACCATTCTCTGAGCCCCACCATGCCCCCCCAATCTTCTTGGCCTCTCTTTTCACCCCTATGTTTTCATCTTCCCCTGCTAGCCCCTCTCCTAAGACTCTGCCCTTCTATTTTCTTGATATTTTCTTCATCTCTCAGCTCCCACCCCCAAATTATTTCTGCAGGTCTCCCCCCAAACCTATCCTTCTACCGTCTCACCCCTTTCTGGCTCTCTTCCCCCTTCATCATTTTCCCCCTAGTCCCCTTTCAAGGCCTGTTTCCTGGCCCCTCTATCCCCTATCTACCCCTAACCCCCTGGTCTCCAATCCCTCCTTCCCCATTGCTCCCACCCCTGCTTTCCCGGTCCTCCCCTCTCCCTCCATTTCAGCCGTTCCCTAGCCCCAGCTCTACCCCCGCCCCCTGCCCCTCCCCCTGGAGTTGTT